GTGGAAAGAGCTGGAGAGCAGGGATAGAGATGTACAGAGGCAAGAAAGAAGGGGGCAGATAAGGGAGAGCAGGTACAACCCTAAGTACGAGGAAATAATAACGGAGGGATTGCCGAAGTACCTGTCGGTGGAGGGGGATGAGGAGGGGAAGAGGATGGTGGCAAGATTCAGATGCGGCAATGAGGAGAGAGCGAATAGGTATTGGATGAGAGATGATGAGAGGGGTTGTAGGCTATGTGGGGGGGAGTGGGAGTCGTTGGAGCACCTACTGAGGGAGTGTGACGAGCTAAGAGAGGAGGTGATCGGCTGGAAGCAGGTGCTGGGGGAGGGGGCAGAGGGAAGAGAATGGATGAGGGAGGTGGTGGCGACAAGGCAGCGTAGGGAGATGCGGGGAAGAGATGGAGAGGGGTAGGATAGGAAATAAAATGTATTGTATTGTAATGTGATATATGTAATTGTACTATTGTTAAAAATTTAATTGTTTGTGGAATGTATTGCTGATTTGGTAGCAATAAACTTAAATAAAAAAAAAATCTTCCTCAGCATATGCATGTGTTCTGATGAAGCATGTATGAGCATGTTGTCTGGGATGCAGATGCTAAAGGCCAACAAAACCGTTATTGAAACATTTCAGTAATGTACCGTAATTGTCAACTGTATGTTGCAGAAACATTTCAATAGAAACGTTTCAATGAAACATAAAAAGGGCCGGAAATTAGCAGTTTCAGACACGTTTCACCTATGTTTCAGAAATTTGTCGAAGAAACATTTCATGTTTCAATAATATGTATCAGAAATGTTTCTGAAACGCAAATTTGTTTACTGGGATGTTGCCCTAATGAAATATAGTAGATTATCTGATAAGAAATAAATGTACTACTTGCCATTTGATAAAATCTTTGATGAAATGCAGTGGCGTAGCTAGCCATGAAGGGGCCCTGTATCAATAAAATATCGGGGGCCCTTTTTGGGGTAATAAAGAACACATATATAGTCGCAAAAACGATAATACTTATAAACTAAACTTATGTATATGATATAAACTATGCAGGGTGTCTCAGCGAGAACGGTCATTAGACGTTTTTGGGGTTCTAGCCAAACAAAAAATTTGAGAATGCAGACTTAAGTATTATCAATTACGTTCTCTTCATCTAAAATATTTTCAGATTTCTAGCACTTCCGGTTATACCGGAAGTCGCCACCTACTTTATTTTTTTAAATGGAACACCCTGTATATTTTTACATATTTGGATTTGTCTGTTTTGAAGGTTTATAAATAACTTTACTTTTTGCAATTTGAACCAGCAATTCTCGAGTTATTCGAATTTTTCTAGAAAAATTTGCTCCAGCGGACATTTGTTCAAAAAATCATAGAACACTCAATTTTTGAGATATCAATTTAGGATTCAGAACATGCTTAAACAACATGATGGAGTATGTTTTGGTGCCGAGAACGGCTGTCTAGATCGTTTGGTCACTTTACTATGATACGTTAACTTTTCGAAATTTGGAAGCACCATAACTTCATTTTTTTAAATGGCACCCCCCATATTTTATTACTTAGTCGTCTTCGGCGTCTCATTTTACATCTTTTATATTCCATATGTCCTATGCCTAACATTAATAGTTTGAGAAATAATTAGGGTTTTTTGAAAAATGCTCACATATCATATGGATATTAACCTAGTGTGCCATGGAAAACAAATGTTTAATGACTTATTGATAAACGTCAAAGTCTAATTTAGGTTGTTTGATGCTTGTGAGTCTAAAACCAGTTAAAATGGATATTAATAACGTAAATAATGTTTATACAAATGAAGAAATCCATAATTTATTTTTTGTGCACGAAAAGTGCGACAAAGTTCTTAGTAGAACTTGCAGAATGTTTAATGAAAATTATCCACATTTATCTCCGATGACAAAAGGTAAATTTAGAGGAATAGAAGCAAATTTTTTGCATTTTGGACGAATTAATCACGTGTTAAACTGACCAAAAAATGTAGTAGATAATGCAACGGAAGAGGTGAATACCTTGGCTTATTTCGAGCCCAGTCCCAACACCTCAATTCGAGCTGCCAAAGAAGATCTGGGAATCATACTACGAACTTTGTCGCGCTTTTCATGCAAAAAAAATAAATTAAGAATTTCTTGATTTGTGTAAATATTACTTTCGTTATTGTTATCGATTTTAACTCGTTTCAGTACTAATATTAAGGGACATAACAGATAATTATTAGCTCACATGCATCAAGTGACGTAAACAAGTGAGTCTTTGACAAGAACTCATTGAGAAGGCTTGTTTTTCATGGCACACTAGGCTAAATATCCATATGATATGTGTGCATTTTTCAAAAAACCCTAATTATCTCCCAAACTATTAATATTAGGTATGGGCCATATGGGATATAAAAGATGTAGAATGAGACACCGAAGACGACTAAAAAATAAAATATGGGGGGTGCCATTTAAAAAAATGAAGTTATGGTACTTCCAAATTTTGAAAAGTTAACGTGCCATAGTAAAGTGATCAAACGTTCTAGACCGCAGTTCTCGGCACCAAAACATACTCCATCATGTTGCTTAAGCATGTTCTCAATCCTAAATTGATATCCCAAAAATTGAGTGTTTTCTGATTTTTTGAACAAATGTCTGCTGGAGCAGATTTTTCTAGAAAAATTCGAATAACTCGAGAACGACCGAATCAAATTGCAAAAAGTAAAGTTATTTATAAACCTTGAAAACAGACAAATCCAAATATGTAAAAATATACAGGGTGTTCCATTTAAAAAAATAAAGTTGGTGGCGACTTCCGGTATAACCGGAAGTGCAAGAAATCTGAAAATATTTTAGACGAAGAGATCGTAATTGATAATACTTAAGTCTGAATTCTCAAATTTTTATTTTCGCCAGAACCCCTGAAACGTCTAATGACTGGTCTCGCTGAGACACCCTGTATGTGTAAATAACTAAAAATGCTACGTTTTTAAATAATTTCTTTTCTGGCCTTCATTTCGGCAAAAACATTTATGATTTATGATTTCTATGGACAGTATTGATAAATCCGATAGTCGATCTTGTTCCATAGATGTCCTTAAGTATGTTTTAATGAGCTTCAATTTAGAAAAGCTTCTTTCAGCAGTTGCGGTTGTAACTGAAAGCGTCAAAAATATAAAACATGCTGTTATAACTTCTGGGAAGCTAGAGGTGAGGCTATTGAATTTTATAACAAGCAATTCTACAAGATCTTTAACTGTGTGGATTTTTGAATTTCAGATTTTAAGCAACTTTTGAAAGTAATTAGCTGATTATGTAAATCAAGTGTTAAATCCTTTTGATATTTGCTGGCCAAATTTGCTGTCTTAGTTTGTATTTCTTCATTTGAAAATGAAAGTAATTTATCCAGTTGAAAAACGTCAAATATATTATTCAAATTAAGCAATGCCTGAAATCTTTGTTTTGTTTTAGCAATCAATATAACAGCAATAAAATATGTTGACTCTGAAATACGATTCTGGATCCGATATTTTTGCATCTTCTGACAACTCATCAAAAAAACGCTTCTTAATTCTTCTTCTTTTATTTTTGAAATGAGGTGTTATATTCCACTGTTTTGCCTGATCTTTCGCTCGATTTAATAATCCAGTAAATGAATTTTGACTTCGCATTTCTAACAGTCTATCTAAAAGGTTATTTAATAAAGTACTAGCTTTTTTAAGTCATAACTTTCGGATTGAAGGGCTTTGGAAATGGGATCTATGATTTCAAATAATTGAGAAACATTTCATGTTTCAATAATATGTATCAGAATCTTCTCAAAGATGTTGCCCTAATGAAATATAGTAGATTGTCTGATAAGAAATAAATGTACTACTTGTCATTTGATAAAATCTTTGATAAAATGGCCAATAGTTGAAATAGAATCTTATATTTAAAGTTGAAATTATTATAATTCTGAAAACAAGGAAATATCTTCAAGCAGAGATAAATAATTTAAGACGAATTAGAGACTAATTGTATAAATAATGAAGAAGAGGAAATTTTACACATTACTACATTTGTTGTTAACGTCTGGAGTTGGAATTTTCTCATTAACTATTCTTAATTGAATGGATTTATGTTTATAATCATCCAATTTATTATGAGATAAAAACCTAGAAATTCCTAAATAGTGTTTACAAAATAATTTGAAGAAAGTGGTCACCCTATCAACAAACAAACTACACAAGAAAACTTACTAAAGATGGAATTAGAATTGTTTAAATTATTATTTAAATAATTATGCTAATAATAAGAAAGTTACATCCAAAATTTAGTTTAGAATTAAGATTAATACGTTTTTTAATTAATAAGATATCGAAAATTAATGTTATCTTATCCGGAAATGATTAATAAGCAAATATTCCTTAATTACTTACAGAGCATAATTATTGATTATCATTATTAAATTGATCATTAACTTAGTTAATAAATTATTCATTCTTTCTATTACTTGTGATAAAGCAGTCTTAATATAAGAAGCTACCCTTTATTAAAAGATTTTTTATATATATTTGTCTCAAAGGATTATTTACTTATAGTTAGAAGTCCAAAACCTTGTACATTAGTACATCATAATTAAATAGCTGATGAAGGAGCATGGCATATAAACGCGAGCTCGCAAACAATAACTTTTTTTGCTCACTTATAAACAGGGTCAAATGTTAAACTTGTGCTGGCAAATACATTAAAACACGCATATAAGTTTACTATTTGGCGTCGTTGTCGCTTACAATGAATTATAATTACCACATTTACGAAATTGATTACAAGAACTACAATATTTCGCTTTGTTTATTACATCTGAATGAACTGAAATCTAAACAAAACCTTATAATTGATTGATAGCCTATTTAAAAGGAAAGTTTTATAGACTTCCTGTCTCTAGAAAGATCATTGTAAAACCCCTCATTTCTTGGAGTTGTTTTGCTTTTAATCTAATTTCACAATCAATAAACTAGAAATACAAAATACAATGATCTTTATTAATCATTTTTTATTTCGATAATTACATTACTAATAGAAAAAACAATGAATAAAAACCGTTTTCATACAATATTAATAATTACACTGTATTGTATGTTTTAATTAAATACTACACATTTTTGTTTAAATTCGTAACAAGATTCATTCAAGATGCAGCACTTTTTTGTAATAATTGTGCAAATCTATTCGTGATTAATAAAGAAACATCAATAAATCTATCGACGCAATTTGTTAAACAAGTTTCAGTCTTGCTATCCAACTTATTACTTGGTTTATCGACGCATTTATCCCAGCAAAAATCGTTAAACTCGTGAATCTATAAGAAATTAACACTTAAAAATTTTTAAAAGCAACGTGACATAACCTCACCTGAGCATTAAATTGCGCTTTCTGTTTCTCTACCATTAAAAATTCTTGTAATTCTTTATCACCTGACGGTTTTGGACCATCCAAACCGGCTTGAAACGAATCCCCGAAATCGGTCATATTGAGATTAAAATTATTTAATGAAAATTTTGATTTCTCGATTAAAGAAAAAGTGACAGTTTAGGTTATGTTGAAAAGAGGATGCGAGTGAAGTTGTCTACGAATAATTTTAGATTTAATTTTAATTTGTGATTCAAATTATCTTTTTATTTTGATTATTAACACGATAATTACGATATTTAATTAAATTAATTAAATTAAAATAATTATTATTAAAGGGGATTGAGTTTTGAAGGTGTTTTATTAATAAACGTTGTATATGTTGGTTCCATGGTGTAATGGTTAGCACTCTGGACTTTGAATCCAGCGATCCGAGTTCAAATCTCGGTGGAACCTTCTTTTTAATTTATTTTTTTTTTCTTTTTTAGTTAATAATAATAAAAATAATTTAATTTTAATAAACAAAGTTATTAAATTAATTTATTTTTAATTTATTTCTTATTTAATTATGACGTTTAACTTGATTTGATTCATTTTACAAAACGTCACTTTATTGTACAATTGACAATATTTCATACATATTTTATAGCTATTACAAGAATATTATTTACATTAACATTTACACAAATGTAGCAAGAAAATGTCCAGAGTTATAATAACGAGAAGTGTACCTTCGTTAACCTCTTTGTAAGTTAATTAAAATAATCGAAAAATTTTTTAGGTTATGTCAAAATTAATTCTTTTAGGTGTACTTATTTCGTCGTGGATCATCTCAAAGAATCTCTATACCAAACCGATCTCCTTTATTTGCCTGTTAAATTGAAAGACAAACTTTTAAAACGATTTTTGGTCAGCCAACAATATTGGAAAAACATTGATTTTAAAACGATATTAAAATTATTGGTTCACCCAGGAACTAAATCGTTAAATCTAACTCAAGTACATGTTGATGATGAAATATTAGAAATAATCAGTATTTGTCGTGGTTTACACGAACTTTATTTAACTCTACATAATTGGAATACCAACAGTGTATCAACGAATGGATTATTAAAATTATTTCCTTGTCTACCACACTTACACATCATTTGCTTACCTAGATGTAATGCTGTTGACGATAATGTCATTTTGTGTATTACTGAACATTGCAAAAAATTAGCTGGATTAGATATTAATTCGTGCGATCAAGTTACTTCAAAATCGATTAGTATTTTATCGAAAAGTGATCAATTATTATGGGTAACTTTATCAAAGACAAATGTAAAATAATTTGGCCAAATTTATATATAATTTGTTAATTAAATCGAGTTTTTTTTTAATAGGTGTGTGATGAAGGTATTCAAAACTTAGTTTTGGGACCTAGTGGAAAGTATTTGAAGGAGTTAAGATTAAATGATTGTTCACAATTATCAAATAATGTCCTTCAATTAATTGTTGAGCATTGTAAAGATTTGGAGGTGTTGGTTTTTAATGATTGTAGCCGAATAGCAGGTATGTTTAATTTAGGTTAACCCCTTTATTATTATTTTTTTTTAATTAATTGATCACAATGATAATGTTTTAAGTTCAATAAAAAAAAATTTTGCAGAATGGTTCAAATTAATTCCTTTTAGAAATGATTTGTAGAGAATTATATTCCCTTTTTGGTATTCAATGTGTTTTATATAGAAAGTTTGGATGATTGAATAGTTGAACCTAAAAACGAGTCAAAGAGATGTTCAAACCCAACCCTAGACCTTCAGCAACCCTAAGAGTCCATAAAAAGATTAAAATTAACCAGATTAGTGAAAACTACAATGACAGATGCCATAGTATATGTCAAAATATAGAATCAGATGACCAACCCATTCAAAATAACACAAGGATTGAAACAGGAATATGTCATAAGAAAAATGTCGATCAATAGACTGCCTAAGTCTGACGTCACAGAAGTGGGCGGAGCATATACTGACTTCAAACAATTTCATTGCTAAAATGCTAAAATAAATCGCCAAAAAATGCCATTGGAAATGTCATCACTTAGTTTATTTTATTTTAACACTTATGGAAAATTGCATATGGTGATGTACCGTTAGCAACACAGCAACAAAAATGTTTGGAGTCAGTATAAGCTCCGCCCATCTCTGTGACGTCAAGGCTTAGGTTGTCTATTCTTCAAACATCTTGAATTATACAGTATGTCCATAAAGTAAGGTTCGCAATAGGCGATAAAATCATTATAAACGGTTCTTATTACGGAATATGAATGATTTTTTTCTGAATCTAGTCAATATTAATATTGTTTACATAAAAAAAATTACTTTAAAGTTTAACCAAGGTCCGTTGAGTATTGGTTATAAGGTTATCCAATTCGAACAATTTGACGTTGGCGGGGTGAGGTGGGAAGCGTGACGTCATTGGAGGAAAAATATAGTATAATATGATTGTGAAGTCGTGAAGGGCCTTAAATAATTTGTACCGTCGTTAATAGTCAATTAACTTAATATTTAACGAAGGCGTGTTAACTTTCTCAAAGAGTACTGTATTAAAGTATTTATTTATAGAAAATTCGATAGAAATAAGAATAATGTATCATGCCGCCATCTATTTTCTAAACAAACAATTATTACTACAATTATAACATTTTTATCGTAACTTTAGATATAAATATAGTATTAATATAAATATAATAATAATTATTTAAACACTAAATAAGTGTTATTAAACTCAAGACATAGAAAGTTTGCTGATTTACGTATACAGGGTGTATCTGAATGACTGCAACAAACTTCAAGGGGTGATTCGTTAGTGAATTTTAAGGGTACTTTAATATATGAATGAACCATCCCTCCAAAAATAGCGGAAAGTTTTGGTTTAAACTACTAAACGGAACCACCCCCTTTAAATTTTTGATAACATTTTTTTTACACTTACTATTTTTTGAGAAAAAAAAAATAAAGCAAACACTAACTGTTAAGCTGTAAGTAGTGTCCGACCGAAATTTCAGTTTCGGCCTAAAATAGGGATTTCGGCGAAGTTTCAGTTTCGGCTGTATTTTGGCCGAAACCGAAACTACGCCCATAAAGCTTCGGATCACCGTCGACTTTCCTCGACACACGTGTTTCGTGAGAATACGTGCCGAGTCATCCCGTGTATTCTGACACTATAGTGTGAGCAGGTCAGAAGATATACTGGAGAAAACTCTTAAATGCTATCTTTTTGAACCAAGTCTTCAGCAAAATGCCGCTTTCTTAAATCGTTTTCTGTTTGATTTTATGATTTAACAGTTTAATGTGCGTTCATAAGTGCACAACATTTGTTTTATTAAAGAAAAATGTTTTAAATAGAAAATTCTTTATTAATTGTGGCTCATTTTTAGGCGATACTTGCTTGTTTACATTGTTTTTTGTTTCGTTACTATGACAACCAACATTGTTATTTTAAATTGGATGCATATGTATTTTGTGCACATTTTAATAGAGGATAAATCCCTCTACGCGATGAACATATCAAATCATAAGGTTGTATTAGAAAATAATCGAGAAAAAATGCGTTCTCTGAAAATATTAAATCGGTAAAGTGGGCCCCGAAATAACGCAGTTGACAGCTTTAAATGTCAAAAAATTGACAGTTTAAACAAATATGGTGCAATTAAGTGAACGACAAAAAATCCAAATATTAATAATGTTTGAAAAGGATACAATCCACAGTATCCAAAATATTAAAAAGTGTTAAAAACCTATAATGACCATACATTATTAATTATTCATAATTGTTGAAACTGTAATTTTTTTGACATTTAAAGCTGTCTTCGGTGCCTACTTTGATTGTAATTAGCTGATTTAAGACTTTCAAAAAACGCATTTTTTCTTGATTTTTTTCTTATACAACCATTTGATTTGATATGTTCATCGCACAGGGGGATTTATCGTCTATCAAAGTATGCAAAAAAATAATTTATATGCAAAATATATGCATACCATTTAAAATAACTATGTTGGTTGCCATAGCTACGAAGCAAAAAACAATACAAACAAGCAAATATCGCCAAAAAATGCGCCATGATTAATAAAGAAACTTGTATTTGAAGCATTTTTCTTTAAAACGTTCATCATTTATTCAAATTTTTTAGTAATTAATCTTTAAAGTAATTTTTCTCGAAAATTTTCTTATGTAACCCATATTAAATTGACTGTACTAGATTCTGAAAAAAAATATATAATATATAATATTCCGTAATAAAAATGAGGTATTGCCATTTGAAAAAAATATCGATGACGTTATAACTCGTTTAAAAAATTTAAATATTTAGAGCCGTTTCAAGAATTTTCCATAAACCGTTTATTATGATTTTATCGCCTATATCCGCTACTTTACGGACACACTGTATAAGTTCTTCCAATGCTCGAGAAGTGGGTCTATCAATAAATGCAGAGAAAACCAAACTTTTAACCCAAACTCGCTCAGGCAGAACTCTGTAAAATCTAATCATCGGGGATACTAACCTGGAAAGATTAAATGACTTCATATATCTGGGGTCAAACTATTAAAGAATGGTAGCGAGGAGTCGCAAATCCAAAGAAGTTATTTATATAAATGTATTCTATTTCTATTTGGCGAGTATTTACAGATTTTTTTATTGCCGCTTCTTCAATCATCTTCTCTCCTCTTCATCTCCACCTCCTCCTCTTTTGTTTCTTTCTGCTGGCACAAAGTTCCAAACCTTAACTCGGATTCTCTCTTTACTCATTTGGCGTAGATGCCCATACCATTTTAGTTGCTTTTCATTTATAGTATCTATTATTGAGTTTTCTGTCGTCTTCTCACCATCTTCTCCAAAACATCATCTCTACTGCTAGCAGGCTTCGAGTTGTCTTTGTCTCTTAGCTACACTTCTGACACATACGTCATTAATGGTCTCTGGTCTTTGTCTCTGTTTGACAGTTTTTGTAGGAGAGAAAGCATCAGTTGTGAGTTTTCCTACCTGCAAAAGTATTCTAAGGCCAATATTAACATATGGGTGCGAAGTTTGGATCTTCACCAAGAAAATGACAAACTATAAATATAAGCTTGTTTGAAAGGAAAATCCTAAGAAGAATATTTGGTCCAAAGCAAGAAGAGAGATCCAGGCACAATCGCGAATTGCAACGAAATGTATAAAGAGATGCCTATATTCATTTTCGTCAGAATCGAATCTAAAATAGACTAACGCAGGCCAGCGGGAAGATCCAGAAAGAAATGGCAGGATGAGGTGGAGAAAGACGCGAGAAGTATCCTTGGTATCAGGAATTGGAAGAGAGCGGCTATGGATAGAGATTGATGGGGAAAGAAACTGAAGGAAGTCTAGGTTCAAAGCAGGCTAGAGCACCATTAGAAGAAATTACATGAAATAGGATTGAGTTGAAGAGGGTTAGAGCAATCTCCTCCTGCTTGCTAAAATTCACATAAAATTTCAAACTCCACTCAAAATCTATTTTCCATTCAAACTAGAACTAACACTAAACTTAGAAACGTTCGAATTTACCCGCCTTAAAACAATCACAGCTATCAATCCTCTTAGATTCTAGATCTTTAGTTTTTTTATTAATTTTTTTACAAAATCATAAATTATTTAAAAATATTTTGCAATATTTTTTATTGAACTTGAAAATAGAAGAGAAGTTTTATTGTTTAGATTAAAATCATTTTAATAATTAATATTTAAACTTGTTTTAAAAGGATTATTTTTATTTGTAATCAAAATTAAACATATTAATTAATAACAATAAACAATTAATATATATAAAATTGTGATAAAAGCAATTTTTTAAAATGAACCTCATAAAAATTGTGATATTTGTCTCACACAGTCATAAATATGTAAATAAATTATAATTGTATATGAAAAAAATGTTTTTTTTTTTTAAATAAATTTTTAAAAAGCTATAATTTATTTATTTAAACCTCTTTTTCTAGGTCAAATGTCTTTGGGAGATCAAGAAACGCATTTGAAGAATTTAAAGCAGTTTACATGGTCAATACACTGGTGAAAAATATTTATATTGATTTTAACTTATATTAATTAAAAAAAAATCATTTTAATGTCGCAACAACTATATTTTTTTTTAATTACACTTTTTCATTCTCAAATACACTTTTACTACCTAATTATTCAATATTAATAATAATTAACTATGTAAAAAATAATGAATAGATCAAATATTTTAGCCGGTTCATTTTCTTTCAAGGCATAATAAAAAGAATGAAACTAAATTATTACATTTACAAAATATATATATATTAGACTTAAAACAAGACGGTTTTTTTTTTAATTTATGTTAATTTCTGTTTTTATTTATTTCATAGACGCTTTTATCCCCATTTTATTTTTTTTTATTAAGTTGGGTTGATTATGCCTTTGAATTTATTGGGGATTGTTTTAATTGTAAAATAATGGAACGCATACGAGAAACATCTTTACTTCCTTGTTTAGCTTTAGGATTAAAATCGCAAAGTTTTGCAATTCGCTCCCATTCAGTTCCTGGTTCTATTTCATTATCATCTGCTACAAATTGTTTTTCAGCATTCCTAAAAAATTAATCAATTATTACAATTTCATTTTAATTTAATCAAATTACTCCAGTAAAGAAAGACTTACTTTGCTGATTCTCTGATTGCATAAATAATTTTATTTTTAAACAATCAATTAATTATTTAATGTTTTTCTTACCTATTAGCAGCTTTGGTTTTAGCAATTTGTTCTGCATGATTCTTATACCAATCCTCCAGCTCTTTCTTTGCAACTTCTCTCCATTCTTCTTTCTTTATTTCCTCTGCTTTATCTATTTAACACATAAACGAAATTAACTCATCAACAAACACTTTTAAATCACCTTTTTCCTCTAAACGGGTCACTTGTTCTTCCCTCCATTTCCGAATTTTTTCAGGTTCCTCTTTCAATTCATGCTTCATCAGTGGGGGTGAAGATGAAACTATAAATTTAGATGTATCACAAAAGTAAAATATTAATTTTATGAGTTCATTTTAAATTCTCACCTGTATTTCCATAATCATGCTCAAAAGAATAATCATCTAATAGGATAGGAACAGAAAAGAGAATGAAAAGAAAATGTTTAATAAAAGATCATGCAAATAAAAAACGTTAAACATCTTCTACATAAGTAGATAGTGCAAGAATAAAAATTATAATCAAGGGTAAAAAGAAAGCAGCAAAATTGACATACCACCGTTGCTGGGTTTTCCAAAATCCAAATTGATGTCCTGCTCTAGATTGTCAATCATCTCAAAACTTGACCCAGAATTTTCATTGACGAGGTGGATTGGGGCACCATCTACACGTAAAGCTACACTTATAAAATGATACAGCAACCAATAAGGAAATTAGAAAAAGCAAAAATGCAATTAAGTGCAATTAACACAGAATTAAACACATCTCATGCGACCTATTTAGTTATTTAGCGACGCCCCTTTTACGCGAAAACGATTTTTTAGGTTAAGTTCTTACTCACTTCCGTTTATTGGGGGAATCGTAACCGCCGCCGCCGGTTTCAATTCATCCTCAAGTCCAGCTAATTCCGATTGTTCGCGGGCGAGGAATTCCGCTGCGGGATCTACGTCTAATTGATCGAAATTATCGCCGAAATCTGCCATAGTTTTTGTGTTTAGAATTTGACAAGTGACAAGTGTCAAGTGGATTCCGTTGTGGCCGGATATGACGTTTCAGTTTTACCGGAAATTTATTTAAATCCCCAAATTTAACTAATTTTTTTTTCGTCTTTTGAAAACAATCATTTTCTTCAATAAGTAAACAAATAGAATGGATAAAATGGAACAAAACTCCTTTTAAAGTTTTTGTGACCACTTTGAAAATTAATGAACGTACCCGTTTATAACTATTCATTAACCCCGAAAAAAAATCGATATTATTAAAAGTCGTTTATTTATAAAAAAGAATCACTGGAGAAAGCTTCGAAAATAAATAAAGTAAATGTTTAACAATAAAATTTGAATAATAAAATTTAAATTTAATAACGTCTAACGAACGCCATCTTTTGCTCGGCGATCGTTTTATTAAACGTCTATTGATACTGGAAGCACGAACATAACCTCAATAATGAACGTTCAAATTAAAAAGCAAAATAATTCAACAATAAACGAAGATGAATTGATAAATTTATCAAAAGAGGTAAATTTTGTAATATTAATCTTAAAAAAGAATTAACCAATTTAATTTATAGGAACTGGTATCAAAAATAAAAGCTCTAACAGCACATAACTTCCAATTAAAAAGTATAATAGCTAAATCAGAGATTACCAAAGCACCAAAAAGAAACAATAAACCCTTTAACTTCGCTAAATGCACCTTTAGAAAAGTACTTTTAAAAATTTTATATTTAGGATGGGATTATCAAGGTTATGTTGTACAAGAAGATACAACAAATACAATTGAACATCATTTATTTGAAGCTTTAATTAAAACTTGTTTGATTAAATCAAGACAAGAATCAGATTATCATCGGTGTGGGAGAACTGATAAAGGTGTTAGTTCTTACGGACAAGTAATTTCAATAAATTTAAGAAGTAAACTATTAAATAATGACCAAGACAATATAAAAGAAGAATTAGATTATTGTACAATGTTGAATCGAGTTTTACCCTGTAATATACAATGTATAGCTTGGAGCCCTATTTTAAACGAATTTAGTGCTCGATTTGATTGTAAAAGTCGCGTTTATAAATACTTTTTTTTTAAAGGAGAACTTGATATTGAAAAGATGAGGATAGGTTCTAATCATCTTTTGGGGGATCATGATTTTAGAAATTTTTGTAAAATGGATGTAGGTAATGGGGTTACTCAATTTAATAGAAATATTACAAAGATTAACATTGATTTATTTCATAAATGGGGTTCTAACAAAGAAGGTGTTAATAAAAAATACTCTGTGGTTTAATTTAAAGTTATTTACCTTGTAGATTATGATAGTTATGTTATTACAATTGAAGGACAAGCTTTTTTATGGCATCAAATAAGGTGCATAATGGGGATATTGTTTTTAATTGGTCAAAATCGCGAGTTACCTGAAATTGTTAAAGAATTATTAGATGTAGATCAAAACCCAAGAAAACCTGAATATAATATGGCGAGTGAAATTCCTCTAAATTTATTTGAATGTAATTACGACGACGAAAATATTATTTGGAATTATAGTGAAATCTCTTTAAATATGGTTTTAGAGAATTTAAAGAAAAAATTGACTTATTCATCTATAAAGTAGGTTGAAATAAATTTAGAAATATATTTTAAAAAGTTATTTTTAGAACCAATATGTTAATGTACATGATTAATGATTTAGAACAAAAAGGTTTTGGTGAGAAAAAGAAAACGTATTTTTCTGATTTTTTGTTGCAAGGGATTAAAGCAAAAAATTACGTTCCTGTTATGAAAAGGCAAAAATGTGGTAAAAAAAATCATTTAATTATTATTTTTTATTAATTAATATTTTTAAATTTCCAGATAGTTTGGAAGACAAAATAAAGCATTACACAAAAAGGAAAAGAATTGAAATAAACAATCAATAAACTTTTTTCTTTTCGTTAATTTTTGGTGTTCATTTCAATGCTAAGAAACTCAAATTTCTTATTCATGATTCCCTTAAATGTTTCACCACTGTGTTTTAACTCGAACAACCTCAATGCAACTTCCTTAATATCCACAGGTCTTATATATTCCTTATTATTTTTTTTTATTTCGTATTTTTTTATTATTTTTTCAAGTTCATCCGCAACGAGTTGTTTATCATCTAATGCAGCTCTAAAAGAAATATTAAAATCGTTAATTAAACGAATTATTATAAAGTTAATCTTGCTCTAGGTCTTATTCTAAAACTTTTGAGTCTTATGGAAATATCTCATTTGAGATAATTAACTTCGTTTATCTTTGTCAAATAACGATCAGACATTTTCCATCAATTAGAAGCATTTTAACGTACACCAACAACCTATTTTTATTTTCTCGCAAATTCCAACATCTCCAAAAACAAATGACACATAAATATTATGATAGATAATTAAGAAACGTTCAAAATGAGTCCAAACTCGACATATCTAAGTGTTGCAACCCCCAAGATATCAATGTTTTTATAAAATCAAGATGGCCGAAAACAAAACACTAATTATTTGTGTCATTTATGCTTTTAAAAGTGAATTTTATGATAAATATGGGATGTGGCGCATCAAATAAGGTCAAAATTTTCTGATTTTGACGAAAATCTTAGTTTTTTTTTAAATAAAATTGAATATTTGTAAAATTCAAGATTGCCGAAAAGAAACAATCCCTAAATATTACTAAAGGTAATTAAAAAAGGCTCAAAATGAGTTCAAACTCGACATATCTAATTGTAAGTGTTATAACCTCCAAGATATCATTATTTGTATAAAATCAAGATGGCCGAAAACAAAACACTAATTATTTGTGTCATTTATGCTTTTAAAAGCGAATTTTATGATAAATATGGGATGTGGCGCATCAAATTAGGTCAAACTTTTCTGGTTATGACAAAAATCTTAGTTTTTTTTTAAATAAAATTGAATATTTGTGAAATTCAAGATTGCCGAAAACAAAACACTAATTATTTGTGTCATTTATGCCTTTAAAAGTGAATTTTATGATAAATATGAGATATGACGCATTAAATTAGGTCAAAATTTTCTGATTTTGACAAAAATCTTAGGTTTTTTTTAATAAAATTGAATATTTATGAAATTCTAGATTGCCGAAAAGAAGCAATTCCTAAATATTACTAAAGATAATTAAAAAAGGTTCAAAATGAGTTCAAATTCGACATATCTAATTGTTATAACCTCCAAGATATCATTATTTGTATAAAATCAAGATGGCCGAAAACAAAACACTAATTATTTGTGTCATTTATGCTTTTAAAAGTGAATTTTATGATAAATATGGGATGTGGCGCATCAAATTAGGTCAAAATTTTCTGATTTTGACGAAAATTTTAGTTTCTTTTTAATAAAATTGAATATTTGTGAAATTCAGGATTGCCGAAAAGAAGCAACTCCTAAATATTACTAAAGATAATTAAAAAAGGTTCAAAATGAGTTCAAACTCGACATATCTAATTGTTGTAACCTCCAAAATATAATTATTTGTATAAAATCAAGATGGCTGAAAACAAAACACTAATTATTTGTGTCATTTATGCTTTTAAAAGTGAATTTTATGATAAATATGGCATGTGGCGCATCAAATTAGGTTAGAATTTTCTGATTTTGACGAAAATCTTAGTCTTTTTTAATAAAATTGAATATTTGTGAAATTCAAGATTGCCGAAAAGAAGCAATTCCTAAATATTACTAAAGATAATTAAAAAAGGCTCAAAATGAGTTCAAACTCGACATATCTAATTGTTATAACCTCCAAGATATGATTGTTTGTATAAAATCAAGATGGCCGAAAACAAAACACTAATTATTTGTGTCATTTATGCTATTAAAAGTGAATTTTATGATAAATATGGCATGTGGCGCATCAAATTAGGTCAAAATTTTCTGATTTTGTCCAAGATATCATTATTTGTATAAAATCAAGATGGCCGAAAACAAAACACTAATATTTGTGTCATTTATGCTTTTAAAAGTGAATTTTATGGTAAATATGGGATGTGGCGCATCAAATTAGGTCAAAATTTTCTGATTTTGACGAAAATCTTAGTTTTTTTTAAATAAAATTGAATATTTGTAAAATTCAAGATTGCCCAAACGAAGCAATTCCTAAATATTACTAAAGATAATTAAAAAACTCTCAAAATAAGTTCAAACTTGAAATATCTAAGTGTTATAACCTCCAAGATATCATTATTTGTGTAAAACCAAGATGGCCGAAAACAAAACACTAATTATTTGTGTCATTTATGCTGTTAAAAGTGAATTTTATGTTAAATATGGGATGTGGCGCATGAAATTAAGTCAAAATTTTCTGATTTTGACGAAAATCTTAGTTTTTTTTTAAATAAAATTGAATATTTGTAAAATTCAAGATTGCCGAAAAGAAGCAATTCCTAAATATTACTAAAGATTATTAAAAAAGGTTCAAAATGAGTTCAAACTCGACATATCTAAGTGTTATAACCTCCAAGATATCATTATTTGTATAAAATCAAGATGGCCGAAAACAAAACACTAATTATTTGTGTCATTTATGCTTTCAAAAGTGAATTTTATGATAAATATGGGATGTGGCGCATCAAATTAGGTCAAAATTTTCTAATTTTGACGAAAATCTTAGTTTTTTTTAATGAAATTGTGTTTCATTAAACTAACTAGTGTTTATAAAACGAAGTAGTGTTAGTTCTAGTTTTACACTAGCACTGTTAATATATAGAACTAAAACTATACCTAGAACTAGAGTCATTCGAATCTTTCTAGTTCTAGGTATAGTATTAGTTCTAGTTTTAATTCAATGCAAATATGTACAACAGAGTGCTATCTACCACTGACACTACAACTAACATTAGACCTAGATCTAGAAATATTCAGACCCTAGTTTCTATGGAAATATATTTTTGTATATTGCATTTTAGGTGAAATTCACTGTATAATTCGAAGTATAATAGAAGCCATCAGACCCAAACTAGGACCCAACCCAACCCAACCCAAAATGTTAACATAGTTTGCTATGCCGAAGACGCCGTTTTGATTGCAAGTAACGAAGATGACCTGCAAAGACTAGTGTATCACTTCAACATAGCAGCTAAGCAATACAATATGATAATATCAACGGAGAAAACAAAATATACGGTTATATCCAAAGAACCAAGACGGTGCAAGCTACAAGTTGAAGATTAGGTGTACAAATTACAAACTATTGAGATCAATGTAAGGAAGCACAAGTGGTAAGATGTCTAAGGAACACTATATGGCGCAACAAATACATGCGTGTAGTAGGAAAAATGAAAGTTATAACGAATTATAACTTTTTTTAAATATTAGTTATAATAGATTTCACCAGGTGACACTATTATGGATTTCAACATTATAACTTTGACAAATTTTAACTATATTATTTGTACTTACTCCTCTTTTATGGCTATAAACTCCTTCAAAAATGGATCATCATGTATCAATTCATTTTCTTTACAATAAACATAAAAAGTGGCAAGAGCATCTAAAATAACATTCACCTCCGCTTTATACTCGTCGCATATTATCTCCATTTCGGCGATTTTTTTCTGAATAACAATATTAGCGGAGGTTTCATCAGTAATTAACGAATAAATATCTCGATCTAAAACGCGTTGCTCAACAAAATCGACCATTTCAACTTTCTGATTCGAAGTATCCTCGCTGTAATTGTAATCCAAGTTTCCGCCGATCGAAAATACCGGAAAACTTGCGTGTATTCCAAACCCAACTTTGTGACTTGTGCTACGACCGGTGGTGGTTTGTGAGCGAATGAGTTGTTTATGATCGATTTTAAAAAGATTTTGTTTTAATAAGTCTAAATTGGTGGACTTTGAGTTTAAAGCCTCTTCGTATTGTTTGATGCTTATTAAAGCTTTTTCGTAATTTCCTATTAATGTTGTTAGGGGTTTTGATAAACGCAGGATTATTCTTTTTGATTCGTTTGGCGTTGCCACGTTTTGCATTTTAATTTGAGGCAAATTTTTGATGAAATCAATCATTCTAAAAATGTATTGAATTTATTAAAAATTGTAAATGTTAAATAAAAAATACCTTTTTGTTGTTGATGTGGAATGATTAAAACTTTCGGAGTATCTAGATATTTCAGCTTCAGAAAATTTTAGTCCTAAATGTCGCCCGGATAAATATCTAAATGCCTCATTATCCAAGCAAAAAACGTTGTGTTTTCCTAAAGGTATCGCATAACCCGTTATGTTTTGTATTTCTTCGATGGCTGTACGAAGAAGTGGGTAAGCATCCCCCGGTCCATAATGAGTACCCCTGGTTCTTGTAAAAACAAACGCAAAATTGTTTCGTATGTTAGGAACGAGCTCTTTTAAAATCACTCGTAAGCAGCGATCAAAAATAACTGATAATCTCGAATCGGTTGGTTTTAAAAAGATACACACAGCGTTTATGTACTCAAGTTCCGAAATATATCTCAACATGGTGTGAGTGTTGTTTAAATCAAAATCTAATCCTTTTGTGTCCCCAATTCCGGGGGTATCCACAACGTTTAAAATCACATCATCTGAGAGATGATAAATGTATGATCTTGGTTTTTGCGTTGATGAAGCTCCGGGGGTGGTGATTTCATTTTCATTCGGAATTCCTACGTTAACTTGGTTTTCTTCAAAGTTTTCGTTGATGTGGGTGAAAGTTATTGGGGCAAGAACCGTGAAATCATCAGATGCAACGTCAGACCAAGTACTTCCGAGAAGATACTTTGTTAACATGTTTATAAATGTTGTTTTTCCCACCCCAGTTTCTCCTAATAAAAGGATATTAATTTTTCGTTGCGACATTTTTTTGTATTTTTAAAAACACTATTCTTATTGATAATAAGTTTTTATTTAATCATCCTTTTATATTAAATTTAAATCTTGTTTACAGCTTATTTTTTTATGATATTGGTTAACCACATGGAAATTACAAGAATTTTGATAACCAAATGGGAAAATAAAAAACAATTTGCAATAATATTTGTTTGTGTCGTTAAGATGTAATCGATAATAACAATTGTATGTCAACAGGTGCATTTAATAAATCAATTCTAAATGGGGTGATTAAACTTTTATGAGGCATACTTTTAAAGTATTTCAATTACTTTTTCTTGATTACGCAATTAAATTTGCGATTGATGCGAAGAAAATTGATAAAAAATGAAACGATGGAAGGTCATTAAGATTATGTGCTACAAAAAATGATTTATTGTAATGTATATTTTAATATTAGATTACATTTTAATGAGTAACTCTACCCGAACTTTTGCAACTGTTGAAAGGGATCTCAAACGATCGTATATAAACCCCTGACGATTGTGTATAATACATTATGCTTTGTTTCGTCACTACAACAACAACCAAAATGAACCCTTTGGTAAGATTTAAAAAAAATATGTAATTTTTTATAATAATACTAGAATATAAAAATATTAGAGGTAACTAACAAAGAATGAAAGTGTGATTCTATCTTAACATTGTCTATTGTGTTGGGAAACATCATACAAGGATTTGTAAGAAATCAATAAACGAGAAACGAAAATGTGTTCATTGTGGCAAAGCTCATCCAGCTAATTATTATGGATGTACTATGGAAAAATTGAAGAATGAAAGTGGGAAAATCAAAACAACAAGTACTGCATAGCTACAATCTCAAAGAAAAGCAAACGTAACATCAGTCAGCAAAATCGTTAAATGACATGAGTAGGTCTTATAGCAAGAAATAACCTGATAATAATAATCTGTAATATAATAATAATATTACTTTATTTGTCCCATTAGATGTACATTGACTTAGTATACATGAAATTATTATAAAATAAGCCAGGACAAATTAGGCGGAGTTCAGGTGTAGCCATAACAGCACCTGCTCTTCCACTCAAACCTACTAAAACTAATTCTAAATATAGAAGAGAGACAAAGAAAATAAAAACGAAAAGAAATACTAAAAGAAAAAGACCCGATACTGAAATCATAATAAATTACGTTAGTTTAAACATAAACTTAAAATTCTGAATTTGAGACAAGCGGCTCCTCATTCTGTGACGAATCGAATATTCAAGGTATAAACATCGGTACGAAACGTTATTCTATTGAACAAGTATGGAGGTTTCTTTAAAGTAATTATATTAAAAAACAAAACCGCTGAAATCATGTCAAATCCTTTAATTTGTGCGGAACATGCTGATGCCCCCGTAACCCAAATGTCAAGTGCAAGCAAGAATTTGAAAGCGACCGATCGCCATAAATCAGCTTAAGAGCAACATACGTGGAAGCAGTGCACTTATTGATGTGTTTATTAAAGTTTAAATTTTCGTCAAATAAGACATCCAAGATTCTCACACAATCCTTCAGCGATAATACTTGATTGTTGACAACTATCTTGACCCGATCTCAAACAGAATTGTCACTTATCACTATTATCATTATTTCTTATCATTATTTCTTGGCCCGAATAAAATCAGCTCCGTTTTAGCAGCATTCAGACAGAGGTAGTGACGCCTAGAAACCAGCTCCAAAGCCTCTATATCTGAAGTCAGACCAAAACAAGCATCATGACATCCGATGGCAAAAAAGATATATATCACTGGGTGTCATCCGCGAGGAAATGATGATTACAACTTTTTATGTATCTGCTAAAATGCGATATGTAAACTGAATATAGCAATGGAGCCAAAATTGAACAAGATCATCAAACCCAATGTAGCGAAACATGGCATACATCAAAAGCCTTTGAATAATCTAAGAGACTCATCTTGGTCTATACTTCCTATGACATCGTCCACAATATTCGATAGAGCATTTATAATAATCCCAAGAAAAATGCAGCGCATTCTTTTTAAACGCCCTATAAGCCTTGTCGCAAAGACACTGCATTTGTCTGATTGTACTCGTCAACCAAGGCGCAGGAGGCTTAGTAAAGCGTGGAGTTACTAGGGGCATATGACACTTCATTAAATACATTAATGCATTATTTGGGAATTCTGCCATCCAATCCAAATCATCTGTATCGTAAATATTAGCTAACGGTAAATTACGAAGATCACCTAGAAAATTGTCATAGTTGAAATCATTAAGATTATGGTAAATACGATAACACGGAAGAGATACTTTGGTTGCAAAGCTTAGTTCACAATAAATTAAATCATGATCAGATATGTTTACATGTTCGGTATTTTGATTAAGTAATGAAGTCTGATTCGAAAGGAAAATTAAATCAATTAGACTGACCGACAAACCCGCCACATGTGTAGGGGAATCCATAATTTGAACTAGACGAAAGGAAGACGTCAAATCGAGCAACGCTGAAGTTTGATTATCACACTTCAATAAATTTACATTAAAATCGCCGAGTAACACCAAATCCTCACACTCAGGTGCAAAAGCGGCCAAACTATTCTCAAGGTCTTCCATAAAACAAACAAGATTAAAATTAGGGGGTCTGTACACAAGACCGACAGTGATTGCCGTTCCATTGAGCCGAATCAGAATCCATAGTTGTTCAATTTTATTATTAGTTGAGATAATACTATATTTTATGTTATTAGTAATATACATCGCCACGGCTACATCTATTTTGCCGCAAGAAAGAATATGAATCAATATTTAAATAGGTACTGTCATGAGAATCGTTTAACCAGGTTTCAGTTAGACCCAGAAGAGAAAAGCCGCTCTCCAACAACAGAGATGCAGGGCAACAGAGATCGCACGTTCAAATGAGCCAAAATAAGACTCTGTCATCGGTCGAGAAGTGTACTAAATTTTGCTAAAATTAAAATTAAACTTATAGATTATTTGAATTCTCACATACCGCCATACGAGAACCCTTTAGCTTTGATTATGATATGCCAATGGAAATACATTGTTGCCAAAGTGGGCTAATAATAGTTAAATCTAAAGTTTTGAAAATGAAATGTACGCAGAAAAATTAAAATAATAGACATATATGAGCTATCAGAAAGAGCAGTTCAAAAACAGAACCACTGTATCAATATAACATAAAACCAAAAATTACGGTGCTAGTGCAAAACTAGAACTAACACTAGACCGAGAACTAGGAACATTCGAATTTAGTCAGTACACCATAAAGAAAGCCTATATCCAGGTCTAACTGAAACTGAAAAAGTCTCGTTCACTACCGATAGTGGTAAATAATTTGAGATGATCTGCGTAAAAAAGTGCACCTATAATAATAATAATAATAGTTTTATTGAATAAGTATGATTATACATTATTCTCGTCAATAATATACAGTTCGTAAGACTCAAAATATTACATATCCTTCCTTACAACCCATTTACANATACGTGAGACACTCTGTAGTTAAAGATTTATTTATAGAAACCTTACATCGAAGTAAACTATATAACCAATTTAGTTTAAACAATTTTGTATTTAGCTATCCTTCACGATTTAATAGCGTTGCATAAAATTTTGTATTTATCCAATTCTAAGGACCTAAATTATATGAAAAAAGTAGAATGTGACCTCAAGTAAATTATTACTTCCGGTTGCCATATTTGATCCAAAAATTCACAAAGTCTTTAGCATATAGTCCTATAGCCATATACCAAGTTTCAAAAAATTTTCTCAACCCAAACTGCGTTAAAATATTTTTGTTCGGGTTTTTTCGAATTTAGACCACTGTGCGTTGGTAGGAAAGCTGGATATCCTTACCACGACAAGGAATGAGGCAGAACAGATATGAGTAGGTCTTATACCAAGAAGAAGATGAAAATGGCCAATAACCTGATAATAATAATAACAATCTTTATTATCTCAACGGAAAAACCTTGTTCCCAAAGTGGGATATTAGTTAAACCTAAAGTTTTGAAAATGAAATGCACGTAGAAAAATTAAAGTAATAGACACATATAAGTTATCAGAAAGAGCAGTACAAAAACACAACCAATGTAATATAAATATATCTTGTATGTCTTTAGGATCTCGTTGGTGACTCCGTCTTCCCGGGCGCTTTCTTAGGTTTGAGTTGTATTACGCTGGATTCTAGTTCTTCCCTCGTTATTCTTTTCGGTCCTTCTTGGTTTGTAGAATCCGCCTCAGCTTTCTCTTCTTCCTCCGCACCTTCCTGTATTCTTGGGAAAAGTTTGTGGAATTGTTCGCCTAATGTTTTGACGTCTATTTCTTGTCCTTTTCTTACCCAGTCGCTTCATTGCCACTTTTTACGCCGTTCCCCAGACATTTTCCTCAAGCTTCTCACACATCTTCGCCCACCTTTTTTCCTTACTTTTCCTTATCATTCGATCCAAGTTAACCCAACCCAACCAAAACAACAATTACTGCACAACTACAATCTCAAAGAAGAGCAAACGTAACATCAATCACACATGCAAGGTTGGTAGGAAAACTGGATATCCTTACCACGACAAGGAAGGAGGCAGAACAGACATGAGTAGGTCTTATAGCAAGAAGAAGATAGCAACAAATCTAAAAATGGCCAATAACCTGATAATAATAATTATTATAATTATTATCGCAACGGAAATACATTGTTCCTAAAGTGGGATATTAGTTAAACCTAAAGTTTTGAAAATGAAATGCACGCAAAAAAGTTAAAGTAATAGATACATATAAGTTATCAGAAAGAGCAGTACAAAAACAGAACCAATGTAACATAAAACAGAAAATTACGGTGCTAGTGCAAAACTAGAACTAACACTAGACCGAGAACTAGGAATATTCGAATTTAGTCAGTACACCATAAAGAAAGCCTATATCCAGGTCTAACTGAAACTGAAAAACAGTCTCGTTCACTACCGATAGTGGTAAATAATTTGAGATGATCTACGTAAAGAAGTGCACCTATAATAATAATAATAGTTTTATTGAATAAGTATGATTATACATTATTCTCGCCAATAATATACAGTTCGTAAGACTCAAAATATTACATATTCTTCCTTACAACCCATTTACAACCCAGTATTTATATACTAGGAAAGTTCTTGTCTGCAAGGTATTCCTCAATTGAATAATACTCGTTTTCCAATAATACTCGTTTAACTGTCTGTTTGAACCTTTTGTTATTCAACTCATTTTTGATGACAATGCATTGTACAATTTGACCGATGTATAGTTGAAAGTATTCTGGATTTTTTGATTCTGTGATATGGTATTAACAGACTACTTCCATAACGCGTGTTGTAGATATGTAGATCTTCGTTCTTTGGCAATGTGTTTTTCTTCGTATGAACATTAACTAGGCAGGTAAGTATGAAATAACCCGGGATAGCTAATATTTTTAAGGTTTTAAAAAATGTTCAGCAGCCTATATCAAGACATGATCCGTATCACTTTCTTTTGCATTTTAAATATGTCGTACATATCATTTGACCCTCCCCAGATAGATATGCCATACGTTGCCAGGCTGTGAAAGTAAGCGAAGTAGACGCTTTTTGTTTCATTTGTCGGTAAATTTTTAGATATAACCTTTATACAGTATATTGAATTTGATAATTTTCTTTTTAAGTTTGTTACATGGTCCGACCACGTTAAAGTTTCGGACGGCATAATGCCTAGAAAATTTCTCTTTTGAATTTCAGTATCTTTGTCTCTTTTTGTAGAGAAAGGTAGGTTGCTGAATATCATTTCCTTGGTTGATAACATATGCAGTGTCATCTGCATAGAGACAAATGGAAAGTGCCTTCACATTTTTTGGCAGATCGTTGCGTTTTTCTGATATATATATCAGAAAAAGTATAGGCCCAAGCACAGAACTTTGAGGTACACCCGTCCCCACAGATTTCCATTCTGAGTGTATTTCTTTCCAATACACTTGCTGTTCTCTCTGATCCAGGTAAGAGGCTAATAAATTATATGCAGTAGCTTTGAAGCCATATTTATGTAACTTTTCTCTTAAAATTCTGTGGTGTATCATATCAAAAGCCTTGCTGAGATCACAAAAGGCTATTTGCGTGTTTTTCTGTTAGTCAAAACTATCTGCTATTTTTTGGATAACATTTAATAACGCTGTTGTGGTTGATCTGCCTTGTATGTACCCATGCTGATATTTGGTTATGAGATCTTCTTCTTCTAAATATTCTATTATCCTTCTCTTTATGACCATTTCAAATACTTTCGACATCACCGGTAATATTGATATAGGTCTATAATTGCCACAATCGTTTGGGTCCCCTGGTTTCTTAATTGGTATTATTTTCGCTCGTTTGAGTTCCAGTGGGAAAATACCTTCTGTCAAATATTTGTTTAGTACTACTTTCAGTTGTTTACTAATTTGTTCTTCTATTTCTTGTAGCAGTTTTACTGATAAGCCATAAATATCTGTTGTGTTAGTGCTTTTCATGTTTTTAATGATGATAGTGAAGCACGCAGGTAAATCGTTCACAAAGACATTAAATAGTAGAGGGCCCAGAATGGAACCCTGAGATACGCCACTAGTTACATTTATATACCTAGATTTAACACCACCCAGTTCGACGTACTGCCTACAATCAGACACATAAGACGTAAGGAGATCAATCGCAACCAAATCTTTCCAGTTTCATCGTCAACAACGAAAGATCCAAACATTTGCCTGTGAGAAATTAGTGTGAACTACATCAACTTGTCCACTATGGTCCATTGCGGCAGATACATATTGAGCAAAACTTAGTAGGTTAGTGGCAGCAGATTTACCTGTGTGGAAGCCATGCTGACAATTTGTTCAAATAGCTTTGTAAAGTTATTGATGATGGCTATTGGTCGATAATTCGCTACACAGCACTTATCTCCATTCTTGTAAACCGAACAAATCCTGCTTAATTTTCATGTCTTTGGAAATTCAGAGTCTTTGATTATTAGGTTGAAAATATGTAAGAGTGCAGTCCTTGACTAAAAATGCAGGAATCCCATCTGGGCCCGTTGTAGCCTTTGCCTTGAATTTTTTAAAGTATTATAAACAGCGTAATCGTTACCAGTAGGTTCAATTGATGCAGGAATTATGAACTGGATGCGAAACACCAATAAGAATTACAAGCAATCCTTTATATACAAAGGATTTGATCACATAACTAGAGAAATACTCTTATCACAAGTTGTGCTAAAAGACATAAAAAGACACTTCATCATCTTGTGGATATTGAGGTTATTGAACTTCTGGACACTTCACAGCTAATGAAAAGACATACAAGATAATTTAAGATTATCTTCAATAATTATTTTTTTAATTTTTAGTTCTTTGCCACTCTCCTTTTATTCATCGCTGGATCAAAAGGCGGTGTTATAACCACGGATCTTAGTCATGGTCTTTTAGGATCAGCAACCCCATTAGCAACGTTAACGGCAGTACCAATATCTTCTCTTGGACATGGAGTTTCTTCAGTGGTATCTTCTGGAACTTTAGCACCTAGCGTTACAGGATTGGGTCATTTAGGTGTAACAGCTCCAATTGCTCTTCCAGCTGTATCAACTGTCTCTGTTGGAACTTTAGGATTGTTGGGAAATACTTTGGGAGGTCACGTTTTGTCGACTCATTAAATCGTTATTAATTTGAATTTTATGAATTATTCTTGTAGTTTTCTTCTCTTAAAAAAAAATAAATATTAAAATTTTATAATTACAAAGAAAATTGTTAAATTACAACGAAAAGCGACGATTAATAAATAATCAATGGGAAATGGGTGCGTACTCTTATTTCACAATAACTATTTATAAATTCCGCATGTTCGTGATTGTTGCGGTTGAGCGGTATTTAATTTTTTTAGAAACCTAGTAAATGCATAGTCATGGTTTACATATTAAATTCATTTCATATAAGAAAAGACATCGATACCTTTATAATTTACATAAATAATTTACCAGAAAACTTTAAAGTTTATGATGTTGACCTATTGCTCTACTAGGAAACGCGAGGGTCAAAGATTTGATGCATTTAAAATGGGTGTGGACTAGAACCGAGGAAATATCATCGTTGCTCTTGCACCAGATATGGAGATAAAAATTTCCATACCCTCCTTTAATTAACAAGTAATACCTTTATGACGCTATTTAGGCTTGTGTTCGAAGGATATACTCAATTAATTGTAAGGTTAAATAAAATAAGTAAACTTGTGGTAAATATTTCATGGTCGCCGTTATGGTCGATCTAACGGAATTTACCAGAAAATCGAAGTAAATTAAAAAGAAAAAAATGCAATGTTAAGGATACACGCATTCACTTTTATTATCTCGACCACTTGGACAATGGTTAAAGTGTTTGTTCTAAGTAAAAATTTCGCGTAATTACCATTTCGTGATCCTGGTCGTGACAAAGAGATTGTTGGCATTGCTGTTTGTAAGTTGAACAAGTTTCAGTGTCAGTTTAATTGCATAATGTTATGGTAATATGTAATGATATATAACCACAACACTCGGAATTTAAAGTGCTCTAAATAAAATATTAAATCTTTAAGAATATTTTATTGTTAATATTTTTCATATTATTTTTTAAGTTACCTTAATCTTAGGGAATAAAAAAAATGTACGGATATTGGAAAGCTAAACTATGGGCGCGGTCTCACGAGTGGCGGGGACTAAAGTCAGCCCACCGATTTTCGAACAACTAAAAAGCAAAGAGACAGATAAACGGTAGAAGCGAAGGTCAGAAATTACCTATATAAAGTTAACCCGAGCAAGTAGAAGGCACTCTCAGAAGTTCATTTGACCTAACGAGATCTCTTCTAATCATGAACGCCTTGGTTAGTATAAAACCAACCCTTTTGTGGTAATAAATGTTACTAAAGAAATGTTTGATTCTAGTTTGTTGTCGCCCTTGCCTTTTTGGCTGCTGCCAATGCTAAACCATCTGGTCATGGTACTGGTGCTGTAATTTCTGGCCCAGCTGGTGTTGTTACTGGACATGGTGCCGTAGGACCAACTGGTCTTCCCAATGGCCATGGAGGTTGGGGTGGTGGATGGGGACATGGAGGAGGATGGGGTGCTGGTGCCTGGGGAGGACATGGTGGATGGGGAGGATATGGAGGAGATGCCGTCGTTGGTCATGGAGTAGCTGTTGTTGGACCTTCTGCTCATGGTGGAGCTTGGGCTGGAGCTGGTCATGGAGGTTGGGGTGGATGGGGAGGCGCTGGTTGGGGTGCCGGTTGGGGCGCTGGACACGGAGCCCATGGAGTAGCCGTTGTTGGACCAGCTACCGTCCCAGCTGCCGTTGTTGGACCATCCGGTAAAGTTGTTGCCGATGGATTGTACGGAGTCGGGCATGGACATGGTCATTGGTAATTACAGAAAAACCAAAAACAACCCCTTTTGATCGCAACTATACGACTTAAGCCTGTCTAATGGACTGTTCTTATGATTCTTTTTTCTTTATTATTTTCTTTTCTTGCCATCACTCGTACCAATCTTCCTATTTATATGCTGTATCAGTATGAGCACCGTATACGCGATATTTTAACATCTCTTAGTCTGGACGGGACGCTTCGTATATTGTTGATTATTAGGACGAACACAACTGCCTCGAATTTTATATCGTTTGCCTCTGTACAATTTGTACATATTTATGTATTATTAAATGTGTTAAATAAATCGATGTGTATATACATTTTTGTTTTTTTTTATGTAATATTTACATTTATTTCAATTCTTATTTCTTTATTGAGATAATAAAAACTAGAAACAATTAGCCTCACTCAATTCATTTTGAATTTTTGTCCTTACTATCCTATCTCTAATAACATTTCTGACTGAGATACTTCCTCGTCGAAGACACTTTGCAGATATTAAACCTATAAGAAATGCTCTTAATATTGTCATAAAACTTTATTTCATTATATGATATGAGAAGAATAATGAACATCGTTGATTTCTTAATGCCATGGTTCTTTCTTCAACATCACCTGTTACGTTCTATAAATTGCTGGTCATTTAGCCACTAAAAGCATAACTTAGAGTATTCCTCTAACACATTTAAAGTGCACTTTATTTGTTGATGATTAACCCAAATGTCAAAAAGATGAACCTGGGAAGAAAATAATTATGGCTAAAACTATGATTAACATGATATCATCTTAAAACTGGCCATCATATTCTTATGCATCGGTGGCAACCTCTATCTTTTCATTAATTAAGGTCGCTTGCTGACTAATATCATATGAACCTGAAACTGGTCATCATATTGTGAGACCTCACTCGTAATTTTTTGAATAATTTCGGTGATTTTATCTTAAATCTAATTGTATATAGTATTAAAATTTACGCGTAAATTACAAATTATAAAATAAAAAGTAATTTTACATATTCCACATTAAATTAATAATTCATGATGAATAAATGAATAGCATAAACTGCTATATCATTAGCGTTAAGTTCCAATCACCACAAATTTGTATTTTTAATCGATTATTATATAATTAACGATCGGTAAATAATAGGCTGATTTCTTTAATAGATTTTTGTTGGTTACTTGGTTAAAATAAATTTATATTATTTTTATTTCAAGAGGTTGTCAACCTTGATATACATATCGTAGCCTTTAGGTCGTTATTTATTTATTTCTACGATTTTTTCTTCAACAAAGGACAAGACACCTCCAGTATTATACGTTTTGATCATTCAATATCGGCGTTGAGTTAAAACACTTTTATAATTATAACAATAAATTATCTAAATCCATTCTTAATCCTTCTGGCTATTTAGCTTTAAGCGTATAACAGTAATTTAGATATTATAAGGACGTAATTATATAGCAAAGCGTAGTTTTTTTACTAATATGCCGCATTCCTGCACAGGGACCCTGATATGCGCGCGTTCTTTGCTTGATCCGACTAATATTCATGAACAAACTAAAAAAAAATCATGTAATAATTAGAAAGCCGGGTGGGTGAGGTTACGTGGTGGGGTACACAGTTGATTTTTGAGAGTTTGGCGCAAAAAGATAAGTAACTGGAGTAAATGAAGGTCAAAAAGGACTATATAAACTATTTATGTCCATTGGGTAGTCAGATTGTGAAGTCCAATTGACTCGACAAGATCTCAAGAATCTAAAATGAACGCATTGGTAAGTTCATTTACTAAAAATGTTAGATAATATTATAATAAAATGTTTTTTGGATGTTTTAGATCGTCTTCGCTCTTGTCTGCTTATCAGCAGTTAACGCCAGACCTGGAGGTCATGGCTCTGGTGCTGTGGTCTCTGGACCAGCTGGAGTTGTAACCGGCCATGGTGCTGTAGGACCTGATGGTAATGCCAATGGACATGGAGGATGGGGTGGTGGATGGGGAGGTGGATGGGGAGGACATGGAGGATGGGGAGGATGGGGTGGAAACGGAGCTTGGGGAGGACATGGTGGATGGGGTGGAGATGGTGGATGGGATGGTGATGATGGCAGCTACCCAGGTGACACCGATGATGATGGCAGTTGGGGTGGACACGGAGGATGGAATGGAGATGGTGGATGGGATGGTGATGATGGCAGTTGGGGAGGACATGGTGGATATGGTGGTGATGCCGTCGTTGGACACGGTGTAGCCATCGTAGGACCTGCTGCCGGAGGTGGTAGCGAACTCCAAAGCCACGGACCCGGTGTCGCCATCGTTGGACCACACACTGTACCAGCTACCGTTGTTGGACCAGCCGGTAAAGTAGCTGCTGTTGGTCTTTACGGCGTTGGACACGGTGGTCATGGTCATTGGTAAATCTAGACGCAACTTAATCATGTACGAGTGACTAAGATTTAACTAGCTCCTTATTGACGATTTTTTTCGTCAATTACTTTTTATTTTTTGCTTTGTGTATATATGATTATTCATATTAAATGTGACTATAAATTGTATTAAATAAAAGAACATATAAAAATGATTATTTCAGTTTTTCTTTTATAAAATCATCGATTAAATCGCATTCTACAAAATAATAGCGATTAAATGTTATTGTTGGGCGAGGTTCAATAGCATTACACCACAGATATGTATCTTGAACATTCTGAAAAGGTAATTGGCACAATGAAGGCCGTGCCTTTGCTATATATTTACGTTTCCTATTAGTCATGTCTTTTATAACGCAAAGTGCACCCGGCGAAATATCACACGATTAACGTGGGTGGTACACTTTCATTAAGCACCCAAGTCTAATTTAAATTAATGTCATTAAGTTAAACAATTCAATCTAACGATTATTTCTGCAAAGATAATTTTCTTGTATAAAAATCAATAAATTTTATTCAACTTTAATTTTGTGTATACCTATTTAATCGATGTTTTTTTGATGACGAATTTAAATATTGATCGGCATATACCATCTTAAAGAGTATACTTTTAGCTTTAATTCGGTATAAAAATCATTGTTGTGTCTTGAAAAATAAAGCTTACACGACTATTTGAAGTTAATCGATTTTTATCACAATTTGAAAATTTCACCCAAAAACTATTCTTTAATTTTTATGTTATTGCATCCGATTTATACACTTTAATTTTAGTTAGCATATATTATTTGAAAGAGTATACTTTAAGCTTTAATTCAGTATAGAAATCATTCTTGTATCTTAAAAAATAAAGCTCACACGATTTTCTGAAATTTATCAAATTTCTTCACAATTTAAAAATTTTATCCAAAAACAGCTCTTTAATCGATGTTTTTTTGATGACGAATTTAAATATTGATCGGCATATACCATCTTAAAGAGTATACTTTTAGCTTTAATTCGGTATAAAAATCATTCTTGTGTCTTAAAAAATAAAGCTCACACGAGTATTTGAAGTTAATCGATTTTTATCACAATTTGAAAATTTCACCCAAAAACTATTCTTTAATTTTTATGTTATCGCAGCCGATTTATACACTTTAATTTTAATCATCATATATTATTTGAAAAAGTATACTTTAAACTTTAATTTAGTATAGAAATCATTCTTGTATCTTAAAAAATAAAGCTCACACGATTTTTTGAAATTTATCAAATTTCTTCCCAATTTAAAAATTTTATCCAAAAACAGCTCTTAAGTTGATATTTTTTTGGAGACGAATTTAAATATTGATCGGCATATACCATCTGAAAGAGTATATTTTGAGCTTTAATTTAATACAAAAATCATTAGTATATCTCCTAAAATAAAGCTCGCACGATTTTTTGAAGTTAGCCATTTTTATCACAATTTGAAAGCTTCACCTAAAAACAATTCTTTCATTTTTATTTTATTGAAGCCGATTTATACAAATTAAGTTTAATCAGCATATATTATTTGAAAGAGTATACTTTAAGCTTTAATTCAGTATAGAAATCATTCTTGTATCTTAAAAAATAAAGCTCACACGATTTTCTGAAATTTATCAAATTTTTTCACAATTTAAAAATTTTATCCAAAAACACCTCTTCAATTGATATTTTTTTGAAGACGAATTTAAAGTATTAATCGACATATACCATCTTAAAGTGTATACTTTTAGCTTTAATGTGGTGTAAAAATTATTCTTGTGTCTTAAAAAATAAAGCTCAGACGATATTTTGAAATTTAACAAATTTCTTCCCAATTTAAAAATTTTATCCAAAAACAGCTCTTCAGTTGATATTTTTTTGGAGACGAATTTAAATATTGATCGGCATATACCATCTTAAAGAGTATATTTTGAGCTTTAATTTAATACAAAAATCATTAGTATATCTTCTAAAATAAAGCTCGCACGATTTTTTGAAGTTAGCCATTTTTATTACAAAGCTTTCAACTTCACCCAAAAACAATTCTTTCATTTTTATTTTATTGAAGCCGATTTCTATACATTAATTTTAATCAGCATAAATAGTATACTTTAAGCTTTAATTCAGCATTCACCCATTCTTCTATTTAAAAAAATAAAGCTCACACGAAACTTTGAAATTAATCAATTTTTACAGAACATTTTTTTTTGTACTTTTGACTCCAATTTTAAAATATTCTTCTTGATCAGTATCTACCAACTTAAACAACAAACTTTAAGCTTTAATTTAACATAAAAATTATTCTTGCACCTTAAGAAATAAAATAATTCCAATTTTTTAACCTTAACCATACAACAATGATTGATTATTTATAAAAAGAACGGTTTGGTTTTACTACGTATTTCTTGAAAGTGTTATTTTTTCTTAGCAATGCAATGCCGTCTGACTAACACATTCCCGTTACGATTATTTATTTGCGGACCTAATCACAGCAATAACAATATTAGAAATATGACGCATTCAGTAACCCTATAACTATTTCATAAATTTCTACATCGATTTTGCACGTGACTTTAACAGATATGAATGGATTATCCATGTGTTCCTCACTACATCCGGAATACATATGTCAACATAGACCAGTTTTTTCTAGAAATGTGGAAAATACGCCGAACCGCGTCATTAATGCAGATATTATGCTAACTTTTGCTTTTGTGTCGCGAAGAAATATACTCATAGAAATGCCCTGTACCACGAAGGAAAGGCGTGGCGTTAAGCGCAAAAATTATTGCAAGGTTGCCATACGGTTATAAAACTCTGGAATATATTAGTGCCAACGCTCATACGGAGGATTGTTTAGTTGGTGACAAGTGGTATCATGAAGCAACTGGTAGGTGTTAAGTTAATTTCTTAATTTATTTTTTAATTAATTAATTTCGTTTATTTTTAGATATTTTTGGCATATTTCGGTTTAGCTGTATTTGCTAAACCTAGCCATCATCATCATCATCACCATCCCCTTGCTGATATTTACCCAATACATCCAGGCGTTGGTGCTATTTATAAAGGTCCAAATTCCGAAACGATTATAAAAGGTCCCGATGGAAGTGTGATTACCGCCGAAGCTGATGGTGGTTCTATAGGAGTAGATGGTCATAGTGCGGCTGCTGAAGCGGTTAGTCACGTAGCTGTTGAAACAATAAATCATGGAGTTGGTCTTGGTCATCAAGCTGTTAGTGCGTCAGCTGGAGCTTATGTTCAAACAAATTCCATAGCACCTGCACCTGTTATCGTTGCTAAAGCTCCAGCACCTGTTGTTGTAGCCGAACCAGTTGTACTTGTTCAAGATAACAGAGATGTTGCATCATTGGATGGCCCATCAGGATCTATTTTACGTCATGGAGAAGATGCGATTATTTCAGGACCTTCTTCAACGACATATAAAGGGGGTAAACATGTAATTGATGTTCCTAACATTGAGGTACAAGCTAGTGTTGTTGGTGCCTCAGGTCCAGGGTATGTTCATGGTCCTGTAGTTGCCCCAACACCGATAATATCACCTGTTCATGGACCTATTGTTTCTCCTGTTCCAGTAGTATCTCCAGTACCATCAGTTTCTCCATTCCCTATTGTCTCTTCAGGTCCTGTAGTGGAAACAATCGTTAGTTCAACACCTGGTCCAATTTTAATTAACCCACCACCAAGACCATTGAGACCAAGGCCTGTTTTAGTCGATACAACCCATCCTTTTAAACCTTTATCTTCTCCTGTATCAGTTTTGGTAGATAATACCCACCTCGCCGGATCAACTTTAGGAACATCTTCTGTATTAGTTGATAATTCTCAAATTTTACGAAATGAAGTGGTAGTTTCAAGTCCAGGTCCAATTTTACACGACACCTCGGCTATTTCAATCCACAACGAAGTAGTTCCCCAAGTCGTTGTTTCAAGTACTCCAAGTCCGGTGTTAAGTGCTACCCCAATCGTTGTAGCCCCATCTAAAACAATTGTTGCTGCACCAACCGTTGAATTAAGTCCACCTTCTGTTGGAATTTATTCAACACCCGCATCTCATATCGTTGGACATGCAAACGAAGAAGCTCTCTCAGCCATCATTGCTAAAAACGCCGAGGCTGAACAATCTTATTTATCCGCCCTTCGATATGCTGGATATGAAAAAGCTTTAGCTGCGGAAGCTGAAAGGAAATCGTTAGCGGCAGCTATCGCATCTGGGGCTTATTCAGGACATGGAATTGCAGAACATTCTATTAATCCGGTTGTTAGCCAAGGAAATCACATAATTACAGGAGGTATTGTATCAAGCACAGCTGCACCTGTTATTGTTTCTAGCACTCCAGCCCCAATTTTGGTGACTTCAACTCCGGCTCATGGCGAAGTTGTTGGATTAGGACATGAAATTGTTTCAGTTGGCCCCCAAGTTTATCAAGAAAATGGGATCGTTTCGGTAACTCCAAAACCAGACGTTATTGTTTCCAGACCAACAGCGATCTTGGCTCCTCATCCACCACCAGCTCTTGGTCAAATTATTGTTCAAAATGAACGAGTCTCTTCCGCTAGTAAATCTAGTGAGCATTCATCATCAGTAAAAAGCTCTTCATCTACAATATCTGGCCCAGCAGTTTTAGGGGGACCTCACGGATATAGATTACCAGCTGGTCCACCATTGGGATATCAATCTGATTACTCACAATGGCGTCAAAGCGTATCAAAACAAGCATACCACGAAGAAGAAAGCGGTTATTCGGTCCAAAAAGGACTTTTGCATTAAAATTTAATTTACTAGTCTAACGATTCTTATTTTATAACTTTATTTATGCGTAATATTTTAATGATTTTGCTGTAATTTTTAATTTATATTAATAAAATTGATGAGATAAAGTATTTTATTCTTTTTAAAGTGTTTAATAAGAAGATTAATTTAAAAAACTAATCTATGTAAATTTAATAAAAATATAATAAAGTATTAATAAATGACAATTCGAGAGATTATTTCAAGTTATTTTGCGTTCACTTAACATGTGCAAATCCGATTAAGAATTACTTTCACTTTTAAACACATAAATATTCTCGATATTGTCCTTGTTGTTCTAAGCTTCCTTTAAGGGGAAATTGTATCTTTCCTATTTATTAATATACAATTAAATTCTTTGGATTATTACAAAATTTTTTATTGTTGTTGGTTTCTTTTAATGAATTTCGATGAGTAATGCATGTAATTTGCATAAAACTCTACTTACTTGTATAATTAGAATAAATTGTGTTAAAATGTCAGTGCCAACAAAGTGCGCAGTAATTAAGGTCGAAGAAAATAATTAATGAGTGTCTTTTATTTGTGAGCAAAAATATAAATTTTATTTCAAATATTTTATGCCTCCTAATCCTAAACCAACTCCATTGTTTGTAGCAACAATTCCAGATGGTCCGGCTAAAACTGCACCACTAACAACTCCTGGTGCAATAATCGGGGTTGCAATAGGAGCAGCGATTGGAGCGGCAAGGATTGGACCTGCTGAGAGAACAGAAGCTCTTGCAATAATTCCTCCGGAGATGGGAGCACCCAATCCTAATCCCAAAGGAACGACGGAGCAGTAAGCTGTTGATACAGCAACCAAGAAGAATACAATCTGCAAAAAAGTTTCTTTTTAAGATCCCTTTATATATTTTTTTTTCTTACCATGGAGTTCATGTTGAATGCTTATGCTCACACAGATTATTCTGCAATGCCTAAAACTTGGACTTTGAAGATATTTATACTAAACTTTTCATAAAGACCTTCATAAAGTTGTATGATGCAAACTTGCATCAGCTTTTCAATTAATATATTGTCTAAGGCCTAAGTAAATAAGATTTATTTATAGGCATAATGTGTTAATTAAATGATGCAATCCTTCATCATCCACTTTACGAAGGACTTAAATTCCTATAAATAGATTTTGCAAAAAGCTTTATGTATTTATAGTTAATAAAGTTATCAAACCATAAACACCACAATGAAAGCTGTCGTAAGTCTTATATATTTTAATTCCATAATTATGTAATTAATTCGTTTTTAGGGCCTTGTCTTTTTATTGGCGTTATCATCCGCCTACTCATCCGTTGTTCCACTTGGTGTTGGAGTTATTCCAGCTGGTGGAGTCATCGTGAGTCGCCCTGGAATTGCTGCAACTTCAATTATTTCCCCAGTAGCAGCAATAAGCCCATTAAGAGTTAATGTTGTTGGTGGACCCATTTTGACTAAAGGAGTTGCAAGAGGATTGATTATTTGAAAATGAGTGATGATTCTGATTGGTACACTTGTCTCATTGCACTGATTATAATTAATGTAAATTTTTCGTGAATAATAAATCATTTCTATTGTTTATTATTACTTTTTAAGAGTTTATTGTATACAGTAATTGTTTACAATTCTTTACATTATTCAAATATTACTTTCACTCTCTACCCTCTTCCTCCATTTCCACGCCCTNTGGTAGCTACCCAGGTGACACCGATGATGATGGCAGTTGGGGTGGACACGGAGGATGGAATGGAGATGGTGGATGGGATGGTGATGATGGCAGTTGGGGAGGACATGGTGGATATGGTGGTGATGCCGTCGTTGGACACGGTGTAGCCATCGTAGGACCTGCTGCCGGAGGTGGTAGCGAACTCCAAAGCCACGGACCCGGTGTCGCCATCGTTGGACCACACACTGTACCAGCTACCGTTGTTGGACCAGCCGGTAAAGTAGCTGCTGTTGGTCTTTACGGCGTTGGACACGGTGGTCATGGTCATTGGTAAATCTAGACGCAACTTAATCATGTACGAGTGACTAAGATTTAACTAGCTCCTTATTGACGATTTTTTTCGTCAATTACTTTTTATTTTTTGCTTTGTGTATATATGATTATTCATATTAAATGTGACTATAAATTGTATTAAATAAAAGAACATATAAAAATGATTATTTCAGTTTTTCTTTTATAAAATCATCGATTAAATCGCATTCTACAAAATAATAGCGATTAAATGTTATTGTTGGGCGAGGTTCAATAGCATTACACCACAGATATGTATCTTGAACATTCTGAAAAGGTAATTGGCACAATGAAGGCCGTGCCTTTGCTATATATTTACGTTTCCTATTAGTCATGTCTTTTATAACGCAAAGTGCACCCGGCGAAATATCACACGATTAACGTGGGTGGTACACTTTCATTAAGCACCCAAGTCTAATTTAAATTAATGTCATTAAGTTAAACAATTCAATCTAACGATTATTTCTGCAAAGATAATTTTCTTTTATAATTTATTTATAAAATAAAAAAAATTATTTTATTATTTAAAGATAATATTTGAGGCTAGACGAACTTAAATATTGATCGGCATATACCATCTTAAAGAGTATACTTTTAGCTTTAATTCGGTATAAAAATCATTCTTGTTTTTTAAAAAATAAAGCTCACACGAGTATTTGAAGTTAACCGATTTTTATCACAATTTGAAAATTTCATCCAAAAACTATTCTTTAATTTTTATGTTATTACAGCCGATTTATACACTTTAATTTTAACCAGAATATATTATTTGAAAAAGTATACTTTAAGCTTTAATTCAGTATAAAAATCATTTTTGTATCTTAAAAAATAAAGCTCATACGATTTTTTGAAATTTAGCAAATTTCTTCACAATTAAAAAATTTTATCCAAAAACAGCTCTTTAATTGATATTTTTTGAAGACGAATAAATATTGATCGGCATATACCATCTTAAAGAGTATACTTTTAGCTTTAATTCGGTATAAAAATCTTTCTTGTGTTTTAAAAAATAAAGCTCACACGAGTATTTGAAGTTAATCGACTTTTATCATAATTTGAAAATTTCACCCAAAAACTATTCTTTAATTTTTATGTTATTGCAGCCGATTTATACACTTTAATTTTAGTCAGCATATATTATTTGAAAGAGCATACTTTAAGCTTTAATTCAGTATAAAAATCATTCTTGTATCTTAAAAAATAAAGCTCACACGATTCTTTGAAATTTATAAAATTTCTTCACAATTTAAAAATTTTATCCGAAAGCACCTCTTTAATTGATATTTTTTGGAGACGAATTTAAAATATTAATTGGCATATATCATCTTAAAGAGTATGCTTTTAGCTTTAATTCAGTATAAAAATCATTCTTGTGTCTTAAAAAATAAATCTCACACGAGTATTTGAAGTTAAGCAATTTTTATCACAATTTGAAAATTTCACCCGAAAACTATTCTTTAATTTTTATGTTATTTCAGCCGGTTTATACACTTTAATTTTAATCAGCATATATTATTTGAAAAAGTATACTTTAAGCTTTAATTTAGTGTAGAAATCATTCATGTATCTTAAAAAATAAAGCTCACACGATTTTTTGAAATTTATCAAATTTCTTCACAATTTAAAATTTTTTTCCAAAAACAGCTCTTTAATTGATATTTTTTTTAAGACGAATTTAAAATATTAATCGGCATATACCATCTTAAAGAGTATATTTTGAGCTTTAATTCGGTATAAAAATCATTCTTGTATCTTAAAAAATAAAGCTCACACGATTTTTTGAATTATCACAATTTGAAAATTTCACCCAAAAACTATTCTTTAATTTTTATGTTATTGCAGCCGATTTATACACTTTAATTTTAATCAGCATATATTATTTGAAAAAGTATACTTTAAGCTTTAATTTAGTATAGAAATCATTCTTATATCTTAAAAAATAAAGCTCACACGATTTTTTGAAATTTATCAAATTTCTTCTTCACAATTTAAAAATTTTATCCAAAAACAGCTTTTCAATTGATATTTTTTTTAAGACAAATTTAAAATATTAATCGACATATACCATCTTAAAGAGTATATTTTGAGCTTTAATTCGGTATAAAAATCATTCTTGTGTCTTAAGAAATAAAGCTCACACGAATTTTTGAAGTTAATCGATTTTTATCACAATTTCAAAATTTCACCCAAAAACAATTCTTTAATTTTTATGTTATTGCAGCCGATTTATACACTTTAAGTTTAATCAGCATATATTATTTGAAAGAATATACTTTAAGCTTTAATTCAGTATAGAAATCATTCTTGTATCTTAAAAAATACAGCTCACACGATTTTTTGAAGTTTATCAAATTTCTTCACAATTTGAAAATTTTATCTAAAAACAGCTCTTCAATTGATATTTTTTTCAAGACGAATTTAAATATTGATCGGTATATACCATCTGAAAGAGTATATTTTGAGCTTTAATTTAATACAAAAATCATTAGTATATCTCCTAAAATAAAGCTCGCACGATTTTTTGAAGTTAGCCATTTTTATCACAATTTGAAAGCTTCACCTAAAAACAATTCTTTCATTTTTATTTTATTGAAGCCGATTTATACAAATTAAGTTTAATCAGCATATATTATTTGAAAGAGTATACTTTAAGCTTTAATTCAGTATAGAAATCATTCTTGTATCTTAAAAAATAAAGCTCACACGATTTTTTGAAATTTATCAAATTTCTTCACAATTTAAAAATTTTATCCAAAAACAGCTCTTTAATTGATATTTTTTTAAGACGAATTTAAAATATTAATCGGCATATACCATCTTAAAGAGTATATTTTGAGCTTTAATTCGGTATAAAAATCATTCTTGTGTCTTAAAAAATAAAGCTCACACGA